TTAGTGCTGAATCTTCCTGCTGAATCTTCCTGCTGAATCCTCTTTCTGAATCCTCCTGCCGAATCTTCCTGCCGAATCTTCCTGCTGAATCCTCCTTCTGAATCCTCCTGCCGAATCTTCCTGCCGAATCTTCCTGCTGAATCCTCCTTCTGAATCCTCCTGCCGAATCTTCCTGCTGAATCTTCCTGCTGAATCCTCCTTCTGAATCCTCCTGCCGAATCTTCCTGCCGAATCTTCCTGCTGAATCCTCCTTCTGAATCCTCCTGCCGAATCTTCCTGCCGAATCTTCCTGCTGAATCCTCCTTCTGAATCCTCCTGCCGAATCTTCCTACCGAATCCTCCTGCTGAATCTCCGTAGCCTCTTCCCTGCTTCCTGTGGAAATTTACTGCTCTGTTTCTGGTCATGTGGCTCTGGCTAGACGCTCTCCATGGCCTGTGGGTTTTCCCTAATACATATATTTTTCGTTCCATTTTCTTTCCTTCTTTCTCGTTTTCTACACTTTATCATTGTTTTGTTTTTGTTTTTTTCTCCCTTTCTTCTCGTTTTCTATGATTTTACTTATTGTCTTTTTTATCTTTTTTGGTTTTGTTTTGTTTCCTATGTTGTTGAAGTTGTTTTTTTCTCTCTCTCTCTCTTCGTCTTTTTCTTTTCTACATTTTGGCTTGTTTCCAGTTTTCTTTTCTCATTTTCTTCTCATTTTCTCTATTATTTGCTTATTTTTATTTCTCTTCCTTCTTCTTTTCTACATGTTTTCCTATTTTTTCCACTCCCCTAGTTCTTTTGTTGTTGTTTTTTTCGACACGCAGTAAATGCCGGTCTGTATAAACTCCACTGTTTATCACTTCAACGTCTCACTTTTAACACCTTTCACCTGCAACACTATCCTATATTTCACACCTTCACTTCAACAGATATGACTACCATGAGCAAAATTCCCTCTCCGCGTTGTCTCATTCTGTATTTATCCATTTTTCCTCCATTTCATTCTTTCTCTTTTAACTTTTTTTTTCTTTCCTCTTCGTGTCCATTGTCCCATTCAGTATTTATCCACTTTTCCTCCATTTCTTTCGTTCTCTTTTAACTTTTTTTTTTCTTTTTTTTTTCCCTCTTCCTCTTCGTAATCATTGTCTTATTCAGTATTTATCCATTTCTTTCCTTTTCTTTTATTTTGTCCTTTTATCCCCTTTCCTCTTCGTATCCATTGTCACATTCAGTATTTATCCACTCTTCCTCCATTTCTTTCTTTCTGTTTGGATTTTTTTTTTTTTTTTCCTGTTCCTCTTCCTCTTCGTATCCATTTGTATCTTTCTGCCTCCCTCCCTCCTTCATTCGTCCGTGCTACGCTTTCACATTCTTTCGTAATCTTGAATTATAAATGTGTGTCTCTATCACTAGTGGGTTTCGTTGGCAGCCCTTTTCACAATGCTGAGTTCTGTGCTGGGGGGGGAGGGTTAATTCCCTTTTTTTTCGTTTTCCTTTTTTTCTATCTTTATGTCTTTGTTTTGAGTTTATTTGTTTGTTTGTTTTTCTTTATCTCTGTCGCTTACTCTGTCACTTTGATTTTGTTTTTTGTTGTTTTTTTTTCTCTTTCTCTGTTGCTATCTCTCTTTATCTCTCTCTCTCTGTTTTATTATCTTTGTTTTCGTTTTTATATCTATCTCAATCTCTTGCCTTTCGTTTTTTTCCTCTTTCTCCATTTCTTTGCTTCCATCTTATTGTCTATCCCCATGTCTCTGCTTTCGTTTTTCCTATATCTCCATTTCCTTGCCTCCGTTTTATCATCTATCTCTATCTCTTTTTCCTCTCACCTTTTCTCTATCTCTTTACTTTCGCTTTTACTCTTTAACATCTGACCTTATTTTAACAAACGTTGCATTAATAATTTCCTGGATATATATGTGTACGCATGAATAATGTACACCTATGTATGTACTTCATAAACTTCCAAATTTTGTATTCAGATCCCAGTCCGTCCGTAGATTTGCCTAAATCCGTATCTGGATATGTACATTAGCATAAAAAACCACCCTAACCACACAGGACACAGATAGGAAATACACAGGAAATACACGGGCGTTTACTATGTCCTCAGTCGAAACCTTACTTAAATCTGTACGTATAGGCCTACGATTGAAGAGGTCGTTTTTGAAGTTATCCACCGTGAACGTTTTTGTTTTTTTCATTAGATAAAAGAAAAGAAAGATAGGAAATTTATATATATATATATATACATGACTTGATAGAAAGAGGGATAAAAAGTTATAAAGGTAGGTATAGATATAGAGGTAAATGCTGTTATAGATATAAATATCAGATATTTTACATGCACATATATTTACATATATAAACATTTTTTTGCCTATATATCAAACGCGTTATTCAGTTTCATCTCTGTGGCCATAGAACTAGGTTATTTTCCTACAGGAGGCAGAGCGTGCTGTGTGTGTGTGTGTATGTATGTGTGTGTGTGTGTATGTGTGTGTGTGTGTGTGTGTGTGT